TGTGATTTCTGATATTACCCAGGCTGGAGTGCAGTGGTGCTGTCTCGGCTCATTGCAACCTCTGCCACACAGGTTCAAGTGATTCTCCTGCCTCAGCCTCCTAAGTATCTGGGATTACAGGCATGCACCACCATGCTCGGCTGATTTTTGTATTTTTAGTAGAGACAGGGCTTCACCATGTTGTTCAGGCTGGTCTTGAACTCCTGACCTCATGATCCACCCACCTCAGCCTCCCAAAGTAATGGGATTACAGTTTTGAGCCACCACGCCTGGCATATTATTTGTGTTTCTTTTACCCTGCTAAGAATATGTATTTTCCTTCTAAAACGTTATTCTAGAAAACTTGAATGGAATTTTTTAATTGCTTATTAGTATATAATATAAAATTTACAGGGCAGTGGCTGAAAAAGATTAAATTACACAAACTCAGATTTAAGTTTCTCTTAAGTAAGCTTAAAAAAAAAAGAATTGAAAATACCGTCCAGTGGTATAGAAAACAGAATTATATATCGGCTCTACACCCTGCCCCAGCCATGTTCATAGTTACCCTTTTTTGAGGCCTTATTTATATCTGGCCCTACCCTGGAGTCTTGCCTCACAGAACTGATTAGAAGAGATCAGAATTTTGTTGCCTTTTTAGAGCTGTTGCTCAAAATTTTCTGGAACCCAAAAGCAGATAAATGGGAAATAAAAAGTATGTATTATATGGTCTTACTTTTTTATTTTTTTATTAAAACCAGTGCCAGCAGTGACATTCCATTTGGCTACTTGTTTTCTGTTCCCTCAGATCCAGTAGCTGATTCACAAGTTACAAGAAAGTAAATATAAACACAATAAAAATTTATGTAAATTGCTTTAAACTCTTTCCATCTGTATTCCCTCATTTGTCTATATTTAGCTCTTATTCTATGCATTTTTTTTTTTTTTTTTTTTTTTTGAGAAGGAGTTTTGCTCTTGGCTGGAGTGCAATGGCGCCATCTCGGCTCACCGCAACCTCCGCCTCCTGGGTTCAGGCAATTCTCCTGCCTCAGCCTCCTGAGTAGCTGGGATTACAGGTACGCGCCACCATGCCCAGCTAATTTTTTGTATTTTTAGTAGAGACGGGGTTTCACCATGTTGACCAGGATGGTCTCGATCTGTTGATCTCGTGATCCACCCGCCTCGGCCTCCCAAAGTGCCGGGATTACTGGCGTGAGCCACCGCGCCCGGCCTATTCTATGCATTTTGTGAAAAAAATTAACGACAGATAAACAGAAATAGAAATAAAGGTGTTACATCTGTTATTTAAAGCCTTGGAATTATTGAACACTTAGTATCAACTCACAGGGTGTTCTTAGGATTAAATCCCGTAATGTGCTATCGCGTGTTCTGTAACATCCTTTTCAGCACATAATACTGTCTTAATAAATACTGCATTAGTACATGTGCATACGTTGTTTCCAAATGCAAGCTTACTCAGAAATTGCTGCTTTCTGTTTTCTCTGTAAACTTTAAAGAGTCTCTGTAAACTTTAAAGAATATAATACTTTAAGACAAAAAGTGATTATCTTTATTTGTACCATAAGTATTTGTGTTGTGATAAGACTGCTGAGTATAAGGGACTCTGTGCTGTGCTTCATTTCTCTAACTAATGCTAATTGCCCAGTGGGAGAAACATCATTATTGACAGGGCACTTGTTTAAAAGACCCATTTATGGACCCTTTCCATACCTGCAGAATTAATTTCACAGAGTGGGACCAAAATTACCAAGTGATTTATAAGCTCGTTAGAGTTTGAGAGGAAATGCTTAGTTAAGGAGTTATCAGCCCAGGCTTTTAATTAGTATCGCCTAGCTATTTTGCAGAACTCTCTTTACTTGTACCCTTTTCATAGATTCTGTTTATTGTTCTAAGTGGAAGTGCTACACCTAAGCGAGTTAAGGAATGCGCCACACTCTGAGATTGAATTATGAATCCTTTATTGTGCTGGTGACCGAGAGGTGGCTAACGCCCAAAATTCTCTCCACCCCAAGGAAAGAGTTAAGGGGTTTCTTATACCCTAGTTTGAACAGGGAGAGGGATTCTAGCTGAAGCAAATTTTCTCACAGAAGCTGAGCAAGCAAAAAGTTAAAAGATAAACTAGTACATGAGAAATAAAATAGTACCAGGTGCAAGGCTAGAGCTGTCATATAAAGCTATACAACTTATAGATATGGGGGCTCTGGGTACTCTACAGCACCTGCATTACCAGGCTCTGCTGGAACTGCTTAACTCAACCTCTTATCAGCAAATGCACTCCAGGATGTGTTATCCTGCCCCAGCTACATACTAGAGTTACATTCTTAATGAGGGGAATAACTAAAATGAAAAAGCTAAGATGGAGTCTGTCTGGCTCAAGAAGCTAACATGAGGCCTGAACAGCTCTTAGCTAAGGAGAGAGTCAATTTAAGCTGACAAAAAACAGGTTATCACAGAAGCATCCGTGTTGTTTTAATTGTCTCTTGTGACTAAGGTAAGGCAAAAATTAAGTTTGAGGAAGGAATTCAGAATACATTCATAAGAGCTAAGTTCCACTTTTGCATTAAAGGGTGGTCCAAGAACCTGTTCTGTTTGGATTTGGTAGGGACAGGACAGTGTGGCCCATATTTTCATTACTGTAGCAGAAATTGCTGGTGTCTGTGTCAGGGGATGGCTCCTGAAGACAAAAAGAAACATATTTTTATCTCTATGGAGCAGCTCATTGTTTCTGAATCTCTTCTGCTATAAAGGATAGAAATGGGTGACATTTTTCTCTCTTGGTCTTTCTGCCTGTGGATGTGGTGATAGCAGGTAGACCTGTGGTGCTCACACTTTTAAGGGCATATTCTCAATATGCCACTGTAATTTGTCCAGGGAATTTCATCTGAGAAAAAATCCTAGAGAGGGAGAAGAAAGTGAAAAAAAGTGGCCTTTTTTATTTCAGCTAAACATGTCTCAGATCAAGATCTGTGTCTACTCTGCTCTCTGAAATGCCACGCATTTAGTACTTGCAAACCTGTACATCACTACTTGCGCTTTTCCTCCCTAATGAGTTTGTCTTAAGTACTTTAAAAATTCTTGGGCTGGGCGCGGTGGATCACAAGGTCAAGAGATTGAGACCATCCTGGTCAACATGGTGAAACCCCATCTCTACTAAAAATACAAAAAATTAGCTGGGCGCGGTGGCATGTGCCTGTAATCCCAGCTATTCAAGAGGCTGAGGCAGGAGAATTGCCTGAACCCAGGAGGCGGAGGTTGCGGTGAGCCGAGATCGCGCCATTGCACTCCAGCCTGGGTAAAGAGCGAAACTCCGTCTCAAAAAAAAAAAAAAAAAAAAATTCTTATGATAGTCAAAGTCTCTGAAAAATATATATTTTTTCTATATACCAGAGCCTTCTCTACATTATGGCTTCTTGTAGCCATGCAGAAATCTTACCATGAATTTATAATCTGCAATATTAAAAATGTTCCCTTTGTGGCTGTTGAACATGGGAAGGTGTGGATACTCAAAATTCCTACTAAGGGAAACCTGGGGTTTTTAGTGAATACAGAGGACATGTAATGTTGAGGTTTCATCTTTGTTCTTTATTGTATCTATGCAGTGCAGGATTTAAAAAATGCTCATTGAAGCAGTATGGTATTTATTACCCAGAAAGTTCTAAAAAAAATTAGGAGATATCTGCTCTCAAGGGTGCTAAAGAAAGACTATTTAAAATCACTATTAAAAATTACAGAACAGGGCTGGGCTCGGTGGCTCATGCCTGTAATCCCAGCACTTTGGGAGACTCAGGCAGGTGGAACAACTGAGGTTGGGAGTTCGAGACCACCTTGAGCAACATGAAGAAACCCCATCTGTGCTAAAAATACAAAATTAGCTGGGCATGGTGGTGCATACCTGTAATCTCAGCAACTCAGGAGATTGAGGCAAGAGAATCACTTGAACCCAGGAGGTAGAGATTATGGTGAGCCAAGATCACATCATTGCACTCCAGCTTGGGCAATAAGAGTAAAACTCCATCTCAAAAACAAAAACAAAAAAATTACAGAACATGGAAGATATCTGTTTCTTAAACTTTCCATAAAACTGATGTTTCTTTATATTAAATTCAGACTATAATTTACCTTCTTGGGGGCAGTAATGGTGTGTCCTTCTGGTTACATTAGGACATCATAAAATTTTGTTCTATTGTAATTGATGTTAATAAATCACTTGGTTGATAAGCTCTCTGACATATTTTTTTTTAACTACAGAATGAGTTATTTTCCTCTTCATCATCAACTATCTTATGTAGCTGATGTGAAGAAACCATCACATTTAATCTGACAGCTGCCCTTCTTTCTTAGGCTTTCTTTGCATTTATCTGTTTTTGGAAAACGAAGGCTCTCATCTTTGTTTACAAATTAGAAAAACTGAGAAAACCAGGCTCATTTAATTACTGGATATTTGAAAAATAGTCTTTTTGGGCCAAAACCATTGAATACTGATGAGTTTGTTAGAAATGCAGCAACTCAGACTTTATTCTGAATCTTCTAAAAAAAAAAAACAAAACAAAACAAAAACGAAAAAACTGCATTAAGATCTCCAGCTAATTGTACACATTAAAATTTGAGTGATACCTTCTAATTCAACATGTCTATTCCATCTGAATAATATACACGACCATGTCTTTTCCATCTAAAAAATACACAGTTAATACTGTATGATGTAAACATAACACTCAACCTTGTACATGTTAGTGTTTATGCCCTGAATATTATACTTTATTATCCCAAAAAATATTATATATACACTGATATTATGGATCTTATACCACTCTTTTTTCTCAGAATTAGATAATACAGTAGAGAATATTTCCATGTTGAAAATTATTTTATTGAATAATTTTAGTCATTCTTATAAGTCAGAACCAGTTCTCTTTACTTTCTCCATTTTACCTTGAGTTAAATTAAAAGTTTTGCCCGTGACCACTTGGTAAATATATATGTTTGTGTGTGTTTTGCAGGGACCATTGACATTTATGGATGTGGCCATAGAATTCTCTCTGGAGGAGTGGCAATGCCTGGACACTGCACAGCAGAATTTATATAGGAATGTGATGTTAGAGAACTACAGAAACCTGGTCTTTCTGGGTGAGAATAACTTTGATATGTAATTCCTAGATTCCTAGTCTACCCCATAGGTTTCATTTCTCTTTTGTATAATTTTTTTTTTTTTTTTGGTGATGCATGCTTGTAGATTTCTGTTTTCAAGAAAATTATAGAATTTTTCCTTGTAGAAAAAAAATTCTTCAAGATGTTTTATCTTGACCTGAATTTACCACATTTCTTGAGCTGATCTGTGTCCTTCACTTTAGATTAGTGTTAATTTCGCAAGTTTACTGGCATAAAATATTGTTGCTCACATCTTAAAATCTAATTGTCACCACCAATTTTAATTCAGTAGTACCAGGTAATAAAATTAATTAAGAACCTATGAAATTAAAATGCTTTCTACATATTTAGAAATCAATGTTATAAATTGGTATTTGGGGATAAATGTATTCGAATATTCTATTACATCCTCTTTACTGAGCACATTACTGAGTTGGTAATTGGTGATTATGAGCAAGATGCATGTTACTCATTTTTAATAAAACAGGTATTGCTGTCTCTAAGCCAGATCTGATCACCTTTCTGGACCAAGAAAAAAAGCCCTGGAATATAAAGAGACGTGAGATGGTGCCCAAACCCTCAGGTAGGTGAGAGTGAATACAACAGGCAACCTGGATGAGAGATCCAAAGTCAAAGAGAAAGCCAGTGATTTGGGAAGCCACATTCAAAGAAATAGTTTCTGGAAAGCCTTTTTAAAAAACTGCTTTGGCCGGGCTCGGTGGCTCACGCCTGTAATCCCAGCACTTTGGGAGGCCGAGGCGGGTGGATCACGAGGTCAAGAGATCGAGACCATCCTGGTCAACATGGTGAAACCCCATCTCTACTAAAAATACAAAAAATTAGCTGGTCATGGTGGCGTGTGCCTGTAATCCCAGCTACTCAGGAGGCTGAGGCAGGAGAATTGCCTGAACCCAGGAGGCGGAGGTTACAGTGAGCCGAGATTGTGCCGTTGCACTCCAGCCTGGGTAACAAGAGCTAAACTCCGTCTCAAAAAAAAAAAAAAACTCTTTTAAATTTTACTCTCACACAGGGACATCTTCTGTCTTATGCTTTTGAAATTTCTAAGAATTCTACTTTCCCTTCAGTAATCTTCCTTCAAGTTTACAGTGACAGCCAAAGTACTGTTCATGTCATATAAGAGAGTGTATAATTTGACTTTATTTTGTGTGTGTGGACACACAGATACCTTCATAATTTTCTGATAGTTCATGTTAAACCATTTTTTAAGTTCTCTTTTTCCATCATCCCTGAAATGTGTGAGAGTAGTGGATTTTTTTCTTTCATCTTTCTGCACATTTCATCCTGTTTTTATTACTATATAGTCTTGAAATATAGTTTGAAATTAGAGTATGATGTTCTGCTTTGTTTTCTTTTTCTTAAGATTGCTTTGACTATTCATAGTTTATTATAGTTTCTTATAAATTTTAGGATTATATTTTTTATTTCTGTGAAAAAAGTCACTGGAATTTTGATACTGACTTTATTGAATCTACAGATCACTTAGAATAATATGGCACTTTAACATTTTTTCTTTGAATTGATAAACATAAAATATATTTAAATTTATTTGTGTTATCTATTTTTCACTGATAAATCTTTTACTTGAAAGTTTTTTGAGTTACTTGGTTAAATTTGTTCTGAAATTATTTTAGTGCTATTGTAAATAAGATTGTTTTCTTCTATTTTAGCAGATAGTGTAAGTGTATGGAATTATAACTTGTATGTTAATTTTATATTTTGCTAATTTACTGAGTGTATTTATTAGTTTGAAAAGGTTTTAATATGCTTTTTTTAATAGAAAACATTGCATGATATACAAACAAAAATGTTTTACTTATTTGTCTTCAATTTCAATTACTTAAAAATTTTTTTTGACTAGTGTTTCTTCCACATACTTCATGTCCTGTGTTAAAATAGAAGCATTGACAATGGACACAAGATACTTTTGCATTGGTGTTTGAATTTGAAGAAGCAAACACCTCTCAAAGTTTTTATAAACTGATTTAAGAAAGTAAAAATCTTTGGTGAGCCCCCAGGGTGATAGAATGCCCTCTGGGTTTATAGTGAAGTGGGGTTGTAGCTTGGTCACGAGCCTGCTGGCCCTGCACTAGGGTTGGCTTATTACAAGGGACTTGGGTAGTTGCAATTCCCATTTTATTTTTGGACAGAGTGAATATCCTTCAGGACTTTGCTCAGTAGGATAAACACTAGGGCAGGTTTCTGGTCGAGTGTGCATATGGTGGGCTTTATATTAGGATGTGGATTAGTATGACTTTCACTGAGTACCAGAGAGGATTTCTGAGGTCACTATGGGTTTCTACGTAGGCAGAGCTGGCCGTGAACTGTGGCTTAGGAAGCTGGAACTGAGTCATGAAACTGGTTTTGGGAACACGGTAAGGACCGAGGTCTGAAGGCCTGCCGGCATGGCTATAAATTCGTATCTTTCTCCAGGCCTCTGGAAGAGCAAAACCTTTCACAGAATGTGGCTAAAAGGAGTTTGGGATGATTACAGAGTAAGTTTAAAATTCTCAATTGGACCAAGTTGGATGGGACATTTTATATAGTCAAGAGCAGGGGTCCTGTAGTTTGCCACCTGAATGAAAGCCTGCTTTCTGAAAAGGATGCTTCTCTATTTTTGGCTTTCACAGAGTCTCAAAGCTCTTTTAAAGGCACTTATTTTGAGATGGGGTGTCACTCCATAACCCAGGATGATCGTAAAATTTTGGCCTGAAGCAGTTCTCCAACCATACTGTACCATGTAGTTGTTATTTACAGGTATTAGCCATAATACCTGGTTCTCTCATTAAGACATTTTTGTCATTAATGATTGACAAATTTTCTTGCTGGATAAGGAAGGATAAGGAAATAGGGCACCTTTTAAAACAAAATTCTGTTTCTAAGAGTGTGACTGCTTTATAGGCATCTATCCCATACAATCTTGGTCTTTTTTGTGGCTGACTCATTTCATTTTGCATAATTTCACCAAGTTTTATCTTTGTAATTTGGAGAATATTTTCTGCTTTTTTAAAACTGAGTGATATTCCAGTATTTTTATATTTCAAATTATATTTACTAAATGATTTTGTGAGAAATCTGGATTGCCTTTACTTTTTAGCTTATAGTAATAACTATTGGAATGTAAATGACTCCTCATATGACCATATATGTTAAAGTTTGTATATGTGTTGCATTCTATTTTTATTAGTTTACTTTTTCATCCTTATACTCATACCAGATTCTGGTTTTAATTAACTTATTATTATTATACTTTAAGTTCTGGGGTACATGTGCAGATTGTGCAGGTTTGTTACATAGGTATACACGTTCCATGGTGGTTTGCTGCACCCATCAACCTGTTATCTACATTAGGTATTTCTTCTAATGCTCTCCCTCTGCTGGTCCCCCACCCGCAACAGGCCATGTGTGTGATGTTTTCCTCCTTGTGTCCATGTGCTTTCATTGTTCAACTCACACTTAAGAGTGAGAACATGCGGTATTTGGTTTTCTGTTCTTATGTTAGTTTGCTGAGAATGATGGTTTCTAGTTTCATCCATGTCCCTGTAAAGGACATAAACTCATCCATTTTTATGGCAGTATAGTAGTATTTCATGGTGTATATGTGCCACATCTTCTTTATCCAGTCTATCATTGATGGGCATTTGGGTTGGTTCCAAATCTTTGCTATTGTGAATAGTGCCATGATAAGCATACATGTACATGTGTCTTTATAGTAGAATAATTTATAATCCTTTGGATATATACCCAGTAATGGGATTGCTGGGTTAAATGGTATTTCTATTTCCAGATCCTGAGGAATTGCCACACTGTCTTCCACAATGGCTGAACCTAATTTACACTCCCACCAAGAGTGTAAAAGTGTTCCTATTTCTCCACATCCTCTCTATCATCAGTTGTTTTCTGACATTTTAATGATCACCATTCCAGCTGGCATGAGGTGGTATCTCATTGTGGTTTTGATTTGAATTTCCCTGATACCCAGTGATGACGAGCTTTTTTTTCCATATGTTTGTTGGTTGCATAAATGCCTTCTTTTGAAAAGTGTCTGTTCATATCTTTTACCTACTTGTTGATGGGATTGTTGGTTTTATTCTTATAAATTTATTTAAGTTCTTTATAGAGTCTGGATATTAACCCATTGTCAGAGGGATAGTTGCAAAAATTGTCCCCCATTCTGTGGGTTGCCTGTTCACTCTGGTGATAGTTTCTTTTGCTGTACAAATGCTCTTTAGTTTAATTACATCTCATTTGCCAATTTTGGCTCTTGTTGCCATTGCTTTTGGTGTTTTAGTCATGAATTCTTTGCCCATGTCTATGTCCTGAATGGTATTGCCTAGGTTTTCTTCTAGAATTTTTATGGTTTTAGGTCTTACATTAAAGTCTTTAATCCATCTTGAGTTAATTTTTGTGTAAGGTGTAAGGAAGGGGTCCAGTTTCAGTTTTGCATATTAGACATAGCAACATAGCCAGTTTTCCCAACACCATTTATTAAATAGGGAATCCTTTTCTCATTGCTTGTTTTTGTCAGGTTTGTAAAAGATCAGATAGGTGTAGATGCTTGGTGTTATTTCTGAGGCCTCTCTTCTGTTCCATTGGCCTTTGTCTCTGTTTTGGAACCAGTGCCATGCTGTTTTGATTACAGTAGCCTTGTAATATAATTTAAAGTCAGGTCGTGTGATGCCTCCAGCTTTTTTTTTTTTTTTTTTTTTTTTTGCTTAAGATTGTCTTGGCTATGTGGGCTCTTTTTTTGGTTCCATATGAAGTTTAAGGTGTTTTTTCCGATTCTGTGAAAAAAGTAATTGGTAGATTGATAGCATTGAATCTATAAATTACTTTGGGCAGTATGGCCATTTTCACGATATTGATTCTTCCTAATCATGAGCATGGAATGTTTTTCCATCCGTTTGTGTCCGCTCTTATTTTCTTGAGCAGTGGTTTGTAGTACTCCTTGAAGAGGTCCTTCACATTCCTTGTTAGTTTTATGCCTAGGTATTTTATTCTCTTTGTAGCAATTGTGAATGGAAGTTCACTATGATTTGGCTCTCTGTCTATTATTGGTGAATAATAACGCTTGTGATATTTTCACATTGATTTTGTATCCTGAGACTTTGCTGAAGTTGCTTATGAGCTTTAGGAGATTGTGGGCTGAGACAATGGGGTTTTCTAAATATACGATCATGTCATCTGCAAACAGAGACAATTTGACTTCCTCTTTTCCTATTTGAAGACTCTTTATTTCTTATTCTTACCTGATTGCCCTAGACAGAATTTCCAATACTATGTTGAATAGGAGTTGTGGGAGAGGGCATCCTTGTCTTGTGCCAGTTTTCAAAGGAAATGCTTCCAGTTTTGGCCCATTCAGTATGATATTGGCTGTGGGTTTTTCATAAGTGGCTCTTATTATTTTGAGATACAATCCATTGATACCTAGTTTAATTTGAGTTTTTAGCATAAAGCTCTGTTGGATTTTTTTGAAGGCCTTCTCTGCATCTATTGATAATCATGTGGTTTTTGTCTTTGGTTCTATTTATGTGATGGATTACATTTATAGATTTGCAGATGTTG